AAAGGATATTCACCCTTCGAGGTTCTGAATTCAGCTTTCATGCGCTAGTGCGTGAAATTTTTAACTGTTTTCCAATGTTTGAACTATTTTTCCATAAAGTACAAGGCGGTGAAAATCATTAACAGGCAATCGTTCGATGGGCTGAATTGCACAAAACGCATGATCGCACCACCTTGTCCGGTGCGCGTTGCTATTTATCACTTATCACTACGATTTACGGGATAAGTTGCCATATTTTTAGATTGCTCAGATTAGTCATAAATTAAATAAAAAAAAAAATTTATAGTCATGAATTAAATAATCCATTACACTGCCCTTGCAATAATTTTCGAGTATCCTCGCCTCTCATGGAGAAGCTGAAAGGCCGATAGTTCACCGGATTCTTCCCTCATGGACATCAGAGAGGCACGCTGCGTTTGCTTTCGATTTCCCTCACTGCCACTGTTCCTCATTTCGAAGTTTTACAGAATTGGTTGTGAAGATGCAAGACGATAATGGGAATGTGTTACTACTAATTTTTCTGCTACTGCTTCACTGACAGCTGTTTCACTAGTCGTTTTTCAATGTCAAATCGTCTAACCTCAGCCGAAACTAACGACAAAGAAGCTCTCTACCAGAAGGTATCGAATTTTCTTTTTTTACACCTTTTATACTATGTAACAGCAGTACAAAACACATATTGTAACGGCGTTGTCTGTGTGTGTGTGTGTGTGTGTGTGTGTGTGTGTGTGTGTGCATCTGCAACTTTTAACTAGGAAGCTGAAAATTTAGGGTTATATCCCCCTTCCGCGTGTGATCCCGCAAATTTAAACTCAGCCTTCCCGTACCGGCGAGTAATAAGTACGGCCTCGTAAAACTTTTGGCGGGTAAAATTATTATCACAGGAACCATGGAAACTAGAAGGCTGTAATTTTGTGGGTATTTCTCCTGCCCATGTGTGACCCAGAAAATTCGAATTCATCCTCCCCTTGCCAGCGGATAACACGTACGGTCCCGTAAAAGTTTTGACGGGTAAATTATCTCGGGGACGATGTGGTCTAGGAAGCTGAAATTTTAGGGTAATTGCCTCCTGCCCAAGTACGATGTTGCAAATTCAAGTTCAACGTTTTCTCATGCCCAGGTTTCACTTACGACCGCGCGAAATTTCGGCGAGGAAAATTACTATCTCGGGAATTTCGAAATTTGAGAATTAGAAATTTAAGGGCGATGTCCCTTATCAACGTACGACCCCGCAAATTTGCACTCAGCCTTCACGCACTCTGAATGCCACTTAGGGCCTTGTGAAAGTTTTGGTAAGCAAATTATTACCTCGTGAACTGCAAAGGCTAAAATTTTTAACGCTCCCATGGAAGTTTTGACAAAAAAATCACTAACTCGGGAGCCAGGAGGGTTAGAAGGCTGAATATTTCAAGAGAATTTCTCCTGCCTGAGCAGGGGCTTCACAAACTCGAATTCAGTCCCTAAGTATGCTGAGGTCTTACGTACGACCACGTAAACCTTTGTTCAAAAGCCAGGAAATTAGGAGATTGAAACTTTGAAAGGATATTCTTTCTTCGAGGTTTCAAATTCAGCTCCCATGTACCGGTACATGGAATTTTTAACTATTTTTGGCATTAGCTATCG